CATTTTGGATTGGAAATGTTAAAAAAACTGTTTGGAACGTCATACGTTACTTTACTTGGTACCCGTTTCCACTTTTCTGGTTAGAACGGCCACATTTATCTTGCCACCCCGTATTGTCTTATTTGCAGACGCTGACGCGGCTTGACGTGGAGTCAAATCAAGAGCAACCTCAAAGGCAAACTCCGGGATAAAACGAGGGACTTACCTGCTCAAGTATAAAGTAATACCCAATTTTACATAATTTTCGACTTCTTTGTGTTTTTACCCTCAATGCTATGCTTGTGTCAGTCCGGATACAAGCGTCCGTGTAGTATACAAGTACAGATCGCCATCTTAGTCCTTCTTCGTTTAGGCAGCCTATCCGGGCCCTGAGATTCTAGCAGCCTCTCCCGAGCGGTCCTACCCAACGCTGCCGTATTGGGGGCTCCCTCAGGTTCAGGGGAATGAGGCCCATCCATATTGCTGTTTTCGGCATATTGAAGGCACACGAGTAGCTTGCCAGGCTCTGTCGTGTGGGCTAGGATAGACCTCCAGGTAGTTAGCCACGCTATCCTGGAGCGGAACAAGGGGCTTAGTTTTTGGAGGCGGCCCCGAATCGCCTCCCATGTACTTCCCAGTCACTTGAATGCAAGCTTTTGGCTGTGCCGACATGCAGGATACCAACCGCACACACACAGAGCGCACCACACACGCAAGCATGCATGGATGCGCCTGAGTGGAGACAGCTGGTATGAATCAACACAGCACTACAGAAACAGGGAGTCCATCCCCTGAATCCACCTGCGTCTCAGGGCAAGTACATGGTGGCTTTTGGTCCGCGATTTACCCCCTATCCGCCACCTGGGGTCGCGCCACGTAGCCTCGCCACCAACCGGCTCGAGATCTTTCAGTGAGAGAGGACCCTCAGTGAAAGAGATCCGTGGACACATCGTGGAAGCTCACATCGAAGACCTGATGATGCAAGGCCAGGAAGATCAAGTACGACGTCATCGGACTGACCGAGACGAGAAGGCACCGCCCGCTACACGCCGTTTTCGATACTGGAGAAGAACTGTTCCTTGGAACATGCGACAGCAGAGGCGTTGGCGGTGTGGGTGTCCTCGTCAACACGCACTTGGCCATAAACATCGATTCGTACGAAAGCCTTACGACCCGAATCGGACGTTTGAGATTGAGAAGATGTGGTTCAACTCCTGCTTTGACAATCTTCGTCGCCTACGCACCAACATCCAGCTACGACGAGAGGAACACGAAGCATATGGAATTGGAGAAGTTCTACAAGGAAGATCATACCTTCTTTAAGGCCGTCGTCACAGGAAGAACGGCTGAAGAACTTCACATTGGTACTCACGAATGGAATGAGAAAGTAGAGAGATGTTGGAGTTCGTTCAGTTTGTCTTCAATCGAAGGTTTTGCCTAACCGACGTCGCTGTTTTTCCACAAGTTCTACGAGGATCGGACCATCGTCTCCTCCGCGCAAGATTCCACTTCTCGATGCGTGTTGAGATGGAACAGTTACTGCATCCCGAAGGGCAATGGAGAAAGTCATCCACGACTTCTACTCGGATCTCTTCGATAGCCATGTCCATCTGCCTACTTATCAACTGCAACAGGATGGATACGTCGTCCCCTCAGTTCTCTCTTCGAAGTCCGACACGCCATCAAGTCGGTGAAGAATCGTACAGCACCCGGTCTCGACAGGGTCAAACCGGAACATCTGAAGAATGCACCGCCAGTTATCATCAAAACTCTGGCTCGACTCTTCACGCGCTACCTGTCGGAATGCAAGGTACCCACTCCGTGGAAAACCAGCAGGACCGTGTTGCTGTACAAGAAGGGAGACTTGGACGACATTGGCAACTATCGCCCAATCTGCCTGCTGTCTGTAATCTACAAGCTATTCACTCGAGTCATCCTTAACAGGATCGGCAGAATACTGGATGAAGGACAGCCATGCGAGCAAGCAGGGTTTCGAAGAGGGTTCAGCACGATCGACCATCCACACGGTTACAAGACTCATTGAAGTTTCACGAGAGTACAAGATGCCGCTTTGTCTCACGTTCATCGACTTGAAGAAGGCCTTCGACTCTGTGGAGACAGAAGCGGTCATCGAAGCCTTGGGCAACCAGGGCGTCCCTACTCAGTACATCAAGATTCTTCGTGAGCTCTACAGCAACTTTACGACCAGGAATCTCACCATTCTACAAGGAGGTCATCATCGACGTCAAGAGAGGGGTCCGACAGGGCGACACCATCTCGCCCAAACTCTTCAGCGCCGCTCTCGAGAACGTCATGCGTCAACTGGAATGGAAAGATAGTGGAGTGGTGATATGGTCAACGCTGTCCCGGCAACTACACCACCTTCGTTTCGCTGACGACATCGTTCTTATAACGCGCCGAACATCGAGCAAGCGGAGCGAATGCTGGCTGATTTCGACTGCGCCTGTGGTAAGGTTGGTCTACAGCTGAACCTAACGAAGACGATGTTTATGAGAAACGGATTGGTTCCTGATGCCCCATTCATGCTCAGCGGAACGAACATCACCGAATGCTCCAGCTACGTGTACCTAGG